CACAGGTTGAAGATCGAGGTGGCCTCAAAGACAAGACTTTGTGAAGGAATGCTGGGAGAACATTCCAAGCAGAGGGACGGCAGGTGCAAAGGCCCTGGGCCAAAGCAGTCTGGAGGAACAGGGTGGAGGGGCAAAGGCAGAAGGGGTCTGGTGAGTCATGGCGTGGCCAGGGCCAGATCCACGGTTCTTCCTGGACGGATGTGGGCGCTGCAGAAGAGTGCTGAGGGTGGACACACACAGCCGCAGGGACACAGGCTGGATGGCACCAGACTGCCAAGCTGCCACACTGATGCGGGGCCGACCTGGGGCCAGGGCTGCTCTGCAGAGACGGTGTTCCCCAGGCCAGTTCCTGGCCATGGTTCGGTTCAGCAGCCCCGGTTGAGTGCCAATCATAGCCAGATCAGAACAGATCGGCCAGCAGAGATGAGGCTGATGGGCTCGCAAGGAGCTGGCGGGGTACAGACCCAGTCTCCCATCCAGGGGATGCCCAGGCAGCCAGAGGCTGGCCCAGGACAGAGGTGCCAGGCCAGGGGGGACTGGGGTGTGAGTCAGCTCTGCTGCTTCTTGTAGGCTGTGTGGCCTGATGCAAGTGGCTGGACTTCCCTGGTTGTGTTTCCTCATCCGAGGAAGGGGAATGTGTACAGCACCTGAGCCCTGGAGGCTGTGGGCCGACGGGCCGCTCTGTGTGGCATCCTCAGAACATCTGGCACCTGGTCCGCACACTGGCCTGGGCGTCGTCAGGGCTGGAAACCTCCGCCTGGGTGAGCGGCTACCTCACCTCTTCTCTTGCAGGCTTCCGGTCCCAACAGCCCTTCCTGCTGCAAAGTGGTCTTGGCCTTGCTCACCAAGAGGCAGCATCCAGTTCCACCCTGGGGCCTGGGTGGACCATTCCAAAGGGACAGGAGGGTGATGTGGGGACTTGCGGGCCTCCCAGGTTCCGTCACCTGCGTCACGTCACCCAGGGAGCCAGAGCTGCCCTGAGGATGCCATGCTGGGGAGATGAGAGAGATGAGAGACAGAGACAGACGAGAGAAGAGAGAGAGAGACACAGGAGAGAGACAGAGTCACAGGAGAGACAGAGACAAGAGAGGAGACAGATGAGAGACAGAGAGACGGGAGAGACAGAGACAAGAGGAGAGGGATGAGAGACAGAGATAAGAGAGAAAAGACAGAGACACAGGAGACAGAGAGACAAGAGAGAAGGAGAGAAATGAGAGACAGAGAGAGAAGACAGAGAAACACAGGAAAGAGATACAGGAAACAAAGAGACACGGGAGAGACAAAAACAAGAGATAGGAGAGAGAGAGAGAAGAAGACACAGGTGAGACAGACAGAGATGAGAAAGAAGAGAGAGAGGAGAGATGAGAGAGATGAGAGAGGTGACACAGAGGTGAGACACACTGGAGAAAGAGAGGAGAGACAGAGACAAGAGAGAGATGACAGAGAGGAGAGATACACAGGTGAGAGAGGAGAGACAGAGATAAGAGAGAGACAAGAGAGAGAGTTGACAGAGGAGAGACACACAGGAAAGAGAGGAGAGACAGAGAGAAGTGACAAAGGAGAGAAGAGATATAGGAGACAGAGAGAAGGAGACACAGGAGAGAGACACAGGAGAGAGATGGAAAGGAGAGAGGGAGAAGGGAGAGGAGAGAGGAAAAGAAAGAGGGGAAGGGTGGGAAAGGAGGAGAGTAGTCCCTCAGCCTGAGTTCGAATCCTCCCACGCACCAGACTGCAAGGGTGCCTTCCTAGAGATGATCCAGCCCTGCCACCACTGACTGCAGAGACGAGAGTCCGAGTCAGGGCCACAGACGCCCAGCAAGCGCTGGGCAGTGACACAGCAGACACACTCACCAGGGAGATGTGGGTCATGTCCACTGGTTGGCCAGGCCCAACCAGGGAGAAGCCACAACGCCCCCTCACCCGGCCTTGGCTCTGGGGTTGGGGCAGCCTCCCCTAGTACTTCAGCTGCGGCATCTTTCTGTCCCAGCCGCAAGGCCTTTGACACTGGCCTCTTTCCCTGGTGTCCCTGTCAGCTTCTTCCATCATCCCAGGTCTCAGCTCATGTCACCTCCTCTGAGTGGCCTCCCGGGCCCCTGGGCCTTTCTGATCTGAAGTTACCTTGTGCTCACTGGTCTGTCTCTCCTCACAGGAACATGGCTAGAGGGCAGGGGCCTGTCTGTCCCGTCCTGGTGCACAGCTGGCCTTTGGTGGCACTGAAGCCAAGTCCTAACCACACCCTCCCACCAGTGCCAGAAGTGGATGCCAGCCGCCACCCACTGGCACCCCACATGGGGCCAGACTGCAGCAGAGTCAGCTCCTCTCCACAAGCCCCCACAAGCTGGACGTCTGGGACTCAACCCCAGAGCCACCTAGCCGCTCAGGGCTCACCAGCCAGCCCCAGCACTGGCCAATGCCTCACAGCGGGCCCCTTCCCCTGAGGGTCCTGGGAGCCACCCCATGGGGTGGATGCTGACAGGCAGTGGTGCACTGAAGTCACACCGCCAGGTGGGGAGTCCCTCTCCTGAGGTGGCCTCTGTGGTTCCTCATGACCTGGGCCTGACCTTGGCCCCTGGCCCAGCTGGTTCAGGCTGGCAGGTAGGCAGGAGGCCAGAGGAATGAAACGCGAGTGGAGCCTGCCTAGAGTTTGGGAGGCTCTGAGAGGTCTCCCAGCAGTCTCCTGTCCTGCCCCCTTATCTAAGGGGGCAGGGCAGGACCAAACGGTGGCACTGGGAACTAGGTATCAAACAGAGGCTTGTGGTCAGCACCGCTGTCTCTGACTGAGAGGTGCTGCCTCATTTCTAAACATGAGGCAGAGTGGGTCTCTCATGTCTCCAGGGAGGAACACAGATCCCTCCCCGCCATATAGGTGGCTATGATGCTGGTTTACAAGGTCCCCTAATGGCAGCTGGTCCCAAGAAGAGGCTGTGCCTGTAACTTATGCTCCCCTTACAGCGCTAAGATTTTGCAAGCCTTCCCACTATAATGCACACCAGGCTTCTATTTGAAATCTGTACCACAAGGACCCACAGATCACTTTCTGCCACCCTGAAAAAAGCCAGGATTCTCACCTTGATTGGAAGCGAACAGGACACTACAGCAGAAGAGACCCCAGAATCAAAGCTGTCACATAGTTGTGCAGGTTAGAACCTGCACAGGGTGCCTGGCCAAGGGGTGGCAGGGCTGAGACCCACCAGGTCCAGGCACCACACCGTTTTCACAAAGATGCCTCAGGATTGAATGGCCCTGCTGGAGGCTGTCCAGTGCCAGGGCCTTTCAAAGGTTTTGTCCAGTACCCACAATGAGAAACACATTGTTTCAAAACATTCTAATTTCCAAGAAGTTAGCCAGGCACACCAGGGTAAACCAATCCTCTGTCAGGACAGACCATTTCCATCACCCCAGAACATTCCTTCATCCTCCTTCCAAGTCCATTCCTGCCCCAACTCACAGCCAGTCTTGATTGAAGAAATATGTCTTCATATATTTGTTTGAGCCCACACACACAAACAAAACTTTTACAAAACACGGGCCTCCAGACTCCGCGCTGATCTCCCGACCCATCGATCACCTGCTACCAGCTGCTTGCAAAGTGCAGGTCTAGGTGCTGACCCGAACAGATGGAAGCCAATGCCCGACTGCCCCACCCTTTCTCATTCTTGAGGCTATTTCGCAAGTACCAATTGCATCACCAAACTGATGTTTCTGTTCCTTTAGCTTTTCTGAAAAATAGGCACTGGCTGGTTGGGCTCTGTGGCTCATGCCTGCCATGTAGCACTTTGAGAGGCTGAGGTGGGAGGATCTTTTGAGGTCAGGAGGTTGATGGCGCCATTGCACTCCAGCCTGGGTAACAGCAGACCGTGTCTTTAGAAACAAACAAATAGTAAGATAGGCACGTGCTCTTTACAGAAACCTTAAGACAAAATGGAAAAACAAAGCACTCCAGGTCTGGAGACCGGCAGGACCGGCCGGACCGCATTGCAGTGCAGGAACCAGCTTATCTGGCATCTTCTGGAATTAGGCTCCGGGGTCAGGGCCCGGGGCTTCCAGACGGCCAGCTTCACGCCTGGCTCTCACATGGCAAGCCTAGGGTCTGGGAAGCCGGACTCGAGCGTCTCCGCCACTCTGAAGGCGTCCCTCCCCTCTCCCACCCTTCTTTTTTCTTTCTTCCCTCCCTCCCTGAAGCCCGGACTGGGGACGCACGCGCACAGCCTCAAGCTCGCCCGCAGCCCACGGGGCCCGCACATGCACAGCCTGGAGCCTGGGTGCCGCCTTCGACGGCGGGATGTGTCCATCCGTGGAGGCCGCCCCTCCCGTCCCCCAGAATGACGGGCTACTCGTCGGCGTCACGGGGGCGGACACGCCCCACTCTGCAGCTGGCACCGCACTCGCGCGGCCCCGGCGGGGAAGCCCCACCCGGGACAAGCG